GACTGAACTCCCAAGGCCCAAATGAGGGGCAGAAGGAGGGAGAACATGAGCAAGGAAGTCAGGACCGTGAGGTTTGTGCCCACCCACTGAGACAGTAGGGCTGATCTAATGGGAGCTCACCAAGGCCAGCTGGACTGTAACTGAAAAAGCATGGGATCAAACCAGACTCTCTGAACATGGCGGACAATGAGGGCTGACTGAGAAGCCAAGGACAATGGCACTGGGTTTTGATCCTCTGCATGTACTGGCTTTGTGGGAGCCTAGTCTGTTTGGTTGCGCACCTTCCTGGACCTGGATGGAGGCGGGAGGACCTTGGACTTCCCACAGGGCAGGGAACCCTGACTGCTCTTTGGACTGGAGAGGGAAGGGGAGGAGAGTGGGGGAAGGGGGAGGGAAATGGAAGGTAGGGAGGAGGTGAAAATTTTTTAATAATAATAAAAAAAGAATAAAGAGGCAAATAACCCCATTATCTTAGCAGAGATACAAAAATATCTAATAGTATTCATGACCCTGATTTTGGGTTGGTGGTCATACTGTAGCTCAGGCTGTCTTGGAACTCATTCTGTTGTAAATCTGCTCTTGGATTTGTGTTAGTTTTCCTCCCTCAGCCCACTAAGTGCTGGGATGACAGGCATGAGGCACCACGCCCAACTGTTTTCACGATTTTAAGAATATATTTTTGGTAGACATGAAGGATACTTTCTTAATCAGCTATCAAATATCTCTGATAATAGTGTGCTTCACGATGATATGTGGAATATTTTCTGAATGCTCACCCTGAGATTGGACAAAGCAGCAGGAAGATATCCATTCTGTCTATCTGTGTAACCCCTCATCGAAACTGGAGATTCTGACTGGCGTGGCGGTCGAAGGAGAGTTTGACATTAGATATACGTTACCCTAAGGCCCAGCCGTTGTTAGTACATGAAAATGAAATGTCAAATGGTACAAGATTTTAAAATGAGCAAACATGTCATAAATGACAGGGTCACATACATATAAACCCAAAAAAATCTACAAATTTCTAGAAACAAGTGAATTTATCAAGATCATTGAATTTGGTGTCAGCATACAAAATTGAGTATATTCCAGTAGAGTGTCAATAAACAATTATAAAATGAAACTAAAAAGGTACCATTGGCAATTCCCTCCCATTGTTTAAGGGGCTGTGGCAATGGCTACCACTGCAATAGAGCTCAGCAGTGGGGAAGAGAGACGCTACTTAACTCCCACTGCAGGGAGAACAAGGAACAGGGTGAGTGCAGCGGAGGAACACTGACTAACAGGAAGCATAAAGAATAAGGAGCGCCTTTCCAAGCCGACTTCGCAGGGTTATTACAGAAGGCTGGCCAGGGAGATAAGATTTTAAGATAAACCACATGCCAAGCATGGGATTTTCCCTGCACTATCTTAGCAGAATTCATGTTCAAACCAGATCCTACAAGGAAGTAACCCTTCAGTGAAAAGAGTGGAGATTCTGACTGGCGTGTTGATCAAAGGAGAGTTTGACGTTAGATATACGTTACCCTAAGGCCCAGCAGTTAGGGTTTTAAAATATATGAAACTGAAATCAATACTTCTATCTATGACATTGCAGTCACATTAGCCCCAACGGAAACAATACAAAGTAACAGCAGATGGAGGATGCTCTGGGGCACATTTTTTGCAATGGAATATGATGGTAAGAGAACATGTCGCTGCTACTTAAAACAACAGGGATGAATTTCATGTATAGCATGTTGTGTCACGGTAGTCAGACACAAACTTTCATAGTCTGAATCTGCACTCATGGGAACTCTAAAACCAGGCAAGGTTAACCAATGTTATGACAGAAGTCAGACAGGAATTGTCATCTGGGTGCCTTGCCTCAGAAAGGAGTCTCCCAGGAGGTAACAAATGCCCCATGTTTGGAAAAAGGCTGTCCCCTAGAAAGTTAACTCCCTGCACATGAGATTTGTGTTGTTTGAGTCATACAGCTGGCCTGGAAAGCCGTATCCCAGGTGCCATGGTGTAGTGCTTTATCTGAGCCAAGACCTCCACACGCCACAGGCCCCTGGTGAGTACCAAAGGGTAGGAGAGTAGCCACGGCCTGTACATGGTAGCTGTGTGGGTCAGGCCCTTAGACTGGGAGAAGCTTAGGAGACCCTGCTGTGTCACAGGCGAGAGAGCAGTGGCAGGCACCAGATGGAAGGCCAAGTCAACCTGGGAAGACACAAACGCAGAGTGAGGCCTTCCCACCAGGACCACTGTTGCCAAAAAGCGCAGCAAGGGCAGTGCAGCTAAAGGCACCACTTTGACTCCATTCTAAGGGCAAAGGTAGAGAGGCAGAATAAATCTGCATCTCGTTTGGGCATGTAGATGCTGCCATCTGTCCAGCATGAACCATGAGACATGAGATGTAAATACCTTATTTGTGAAAGTAATAAAATACTACTTAAGAACTTACAGAAGTAATTAAGAACACATGACCATGAGGGTGGCTAAAATCCATATCAGAAAAACAGCAAAAGCTTTCCAAGAACAGCCAGATGAACCAGATGCAACATCCTTTCCTGGAACTCATGAAACATGAAAGGAGGGACCCCTAACACTGTGAGGGTAACCATGGACACACTATGATGGTGGTGTCACCATGGACACGCTGTGACGGTGGTGTCCCCATGGACACACTATGTGGTGGTGTCACCATGCACACGCTGTGATGGTGGTGTCACCATGGACACGCTGTGATGGTGGTGTCCCCATGGATATGCTGTGATGGTGGTGTCCCCATGGACACGCTGTGTGGTGGTGTCCCCATGGACAAGCTGTGATGGTGGTGTCCCCATGGACACACTGTGTGGTGGTGTCACCATGGACATACTGTGATAGTGGTACCATGGGCACACTATGATGGTGGTGTCACCATGGACACACTGTGATGGTGGTATCACCATGTACATGCTGTGATGGTGGTGTCACCATGGACACACTGTGATAGACTCTCAGATAACTCTTGACTGTTCCCTAGGGGCTTCAGCTCAGTAGTCCCAACTGTTTGACACAATCCACTTTAATTGCTGTCTCTCCACCTACCCACCTACCCATCCATCTACTCACCCACCCCATCCACCCACTCATCCACCCATCCATCCATCCACCTATCCATCCATCCATCCACCCATCCATCCATCCAACCAACCATTTGTACTCCTAGACCTGGTCCTGTGGCTCACCTCAAAGGCCCAGTACTTCAGTGCCTTGGTGTCTGCAGGTTCTTTGGTGGGTTTGTCAGCATCTTGTCAAAGCATCTTCTGTGACTCTTCTGCCTCTGTAGCAGTTTTCCATTCTGCTTTGAATGAGACTGTTTCATTCTCTGTGTGACCTCTTTAGATCCTTGGCAACTATTCTGATATATATACCTATAGGAGTACATTGTGACGTGCAGCATGTGATCTGAGAGTTAACATTGGTAATCAAGATGAGCATTCCAGAACTTGTGAGGGTTGATGGCCAAAGTCCCAAGAAAAATCAGGACAGCGTGATAAACTGTATCCCGTGGAAATGATGTAGCTTGTCACTCTAATGCTACTGATTAACTTTTGACGTTCCAGAAAGACACAGATGTGCCTGCCTAGGGCACATTCACAGGGATTCTACTACTTCACATGTTTTAGGCAGTTGTGATTATTTATTAACTTGAGATTCTAGGAATGATTAAATTTACCCTTGCTCTCAGCTTACACACACACACACACACACACACACACACACACACGCATACATGCATGCATATGCCAAGGCGTGTATGTAGAAGTCAGAGAACAGCTTGCAGGGTTTTTTTTTCTTCTTTCACTATGCAAGTTGCAGGGATCAAATTCAGGTTGTCAGGCTTGACAGCAAGTGTCTTTCCTTATGCATAGTCATCTCTCTGGTCTGGAATCTAAACCTTGTATGCGTGATAAAGGCACTCATCTTTTCCTATGGACATGGACTTGGATCATCTGGACAAACACTTTAAACCTCGACTTTAGTCTTCCTTTTCGATTGCTTAATAGTTTGTTAGCAGTAAATATTAACTTAACTGTGATAAGCCCAATGTAAAACAAAATGGACAAACAGGGTAAATACAGATGCATTTGTCTATCTGAAGACCAAATTAAATTTGCACCAAAGCTATTTACAAGCAATTTGAATTCAGGAACACCACGAGCCATGTTGGATTTCCATCTGAAGTTCAGTGAACTTGAAAGAATCTATGTGGTAACTGATCCTTCATAATTTATGATTCAGAGGGACATTTAATTTCAGCAAAGTAAATTTATGTTGTTGGTTTAAACTTAACTGACTGGTAGGAGATGTGTGATAGAGAAGCAGTGGGATACTGAGGGAACTTGAGAAGCTTGTTTCATAAAAGATGAAAGTTTTACCTCTTCTGTCTACTGTACATCATTTTGTAGTACCTGGACTCTCACGGATGGCTTTGGTGTATGAGGACTGTAGAAGGAGCGTGCTGAGAGATGCTGAGGTTGCTCCAATGTGGCTGAGAGTAAAAGTGAAATCCCCCTGGAGAGAAAATGGGAGAGATGCCTTCCAGAAAGCGGAAACTCACCTAAATGAACAAAAGCCAAGCTGGGAAGGTGGGGTTCAGGGTGGTGGTGGGTGGATCAGTGTCCCTGAATAGACAAATATTTGTAAGTCAACAGATCTTCCAATGGCCAACCTGCTTTTCTGGCATGTATGTTCTGGGAACCGGATGTAGACTCCCCCACCCTTGCTCAAGCATCTGGCACAACCCAAGGCAAGCCCAACATTCCTTTTAAATGGAAACACTTAAAAGTACACTGTTTGGTTTTAAACAATAGTTACTCTCCTATTATAGACAAATGTGGTCACAAACCATCTGAGGTCAAGAGGTTAAAGACCTATAATAAATCACCTTGGATAAAGAAAACTGTGTCTCTACTTGGAACATATATATAGCAGTAAAGACACTTCTACAATCAATCCTTTCCGAGGGACATCTACACGATGAGGTCATTGAAAAGTTCTGTCTTCATCTTGATCCTCCACCTTCTGAAAGGAGTTCTGAGCAACTCCCTCATCCAGCTGAACAAAAATGGCTATGAAGGCATCGTCATTGCCATCGACTATGATGTGCCAGAGGATGAAGCTCTCATTCAACACATAAAGGTATATATGTAAAGAGGCAATTTTCTGTGTTTTGGATATTCCTAACTACTAGTATTTAATCAACAATAAGCATAATATTGTGTTAAAGGAAACGTGATTTGCCTTACTCTAGTTGCTTGACTTGGCAAGACGCTTGCTTTTATGTCTGAATCTCCGATTCTTTATCTCTAAAAGGAAAGCAATAACTCTTTACCCACTAGGATTTTTATGAGAAACAAGGTGAATTCAATACACATAATTCCAAGTTAGATATGTTCTTGGCACTTAATGAATGACATCTGTATTTTCCGGCTGTAGGTTGTCACTGAGAATTATTTTGTGCTAGAGAAAGGCAGGTTCAGCTGTATAATGACAACAAGCAGGTAATTCCTCTGCAGGTTGCTACCACCACCACATAGTAGATTCTCTTGTTATTCTACTTGAAACTAACCTGTGAGGCTAAATAGGAGCCTGAAGGGCAAGCCTTCGCTTAACCCTTCCAGTGGGCAGAGGCACTGCATCTGCTCAACCTGGAAACAAGGGGTCAACTCAGGGCTGCTGCAGGTGTGTGCGGGAGGGGGACGTGGATATACCTCGTCGCCTCTTCTATACGTGGAGAAAAGGTACACAGAAGCTCTTTGTTCCAGGAGAGCTGGAAGAGCCATAAAGCTGTCATCAGGTAGAGAGCTGAGGGAGTTCTTCCACCACAGTAAAGGGCTGGGAATAAGAAGGAAACACTTCTTAAAAGACCACCCTGGAGTCCTCAGTCTGCTCAAAGCACATCCATGGTCATTGCTGTGAAATGGGTGAGTGTCCTGTTCTGTAATATGGGTGACAATAAGTGGTTCTCTTACAGAGCCTTGTGAGGAGCATGCAGAAGTGCGCGCCAGTAACAAGACACAGATGGAGCTTCATAAACCCACTCTTTTCCAGTCACCTGTTTCTTCTTGCTTGCTTTTTGTTTGCTACATTTTAACAGTATTTTTACATTATTGTCTTTTTATGCTTGTAATTGTTTCTCTCTCTCTTTCTCTCTTTCTCTTTCTCTCTCTCTCTCTTTCTCTTGTGCTTGGGTTTAATTTATATATCCATTTCATTATTAGGCAATATGTTATCTTTAGATTCTTCTTTAGCATTTTAAATATTAATTCTTCTTTGACACTTTTATAATTTATATAATGCATTCTGACTAGTAGCCACCCCCACTCGTTGTCCCTCCCATCCCATCAACATCTTCTCACTGTCCCTTTCATGACTTCTAGTTTTATTTAGTGGCACATTTGGTGGCTGTCTGTGTGACCCTTGGATGGACACTATTTATGGGACCCTTGCGCGGTCAGCAGTGAGCTCACACCAGAAGGCAATGACTGTTATCTCTCTGAATCTATGTAGCAAACAGTTGGACAGTGAAGGTTAGGGCCCCTTGAGTCCCTTCTCCATTAGTTGCCCTTTTACCCCCTTCTGAAGACAGGTTCCTAGGACCAAAGTCCAGAAAAGTCCCCGGGATGCGTCATAGAGTTTGGGTGGAGAACCATCTCTGTCTGCCAGGATTCCTGACCAGAGTATAACTGAAACAGGTGCGGGAGATGGAGGAGTGGCGCTTCCAATGACGTCTTCATGCTTACCCTAGAGGTTTTCAAACCCTCTTCAGTGCAAGCCAGTCCATGTTTGAAACTGATCAGTAGTCAGAAGCCTTGGGTGAGCTGTTGATGGCCGCAACAAAAACGAAGCAGATATCTGGAGAAAGAAGCAAAGTAGAAAATGGAAGAGACGTGTGGCTGGTTTATTTCTGTCTCAGGCCAGTGTGTTTTGGGAATATGCTAGGAGAAACTGGTACCTTATGTCTAATAACAGCAACTGGGCGTTCCGCGAAGCTTCGAGCCTTCAGCCTATTTGCGCTTGCCATCTTTGGTGGTTTCCTCGTGAAAATCATTGATTTCTCACCGCAATTATTGAATTGGCTTTCTAAAATGAGCAACAGCTGAGCTATGCGAGCTAAGTTGGATTTCACTTCTTGCTTCGGTGCAACAAGAACACAGTTAAGTCTGACGGTGTCCCGAGGGTCCCTGCTAAGGGAGAGCCAGCTCCTACTATCTAATGCCCCAGGTCTGAAGAGCTCAGGGAACACCCCGACCCTGGCCCAGCTGCCACTGTGTGAGTGCAACTGCCTCTCTTGTCTCCTCAATCCCTGCTCCAATAACCTTTGTGAGGGGAGATTCTCTACCCGGAAGTATGATTGGGACATAGCCCCTAAGTCAGCTTAGCTTCAGCAAGATAGTATTCAAGGGTCTCCTGCCAGTGTATGGAGGAGGGGTACCAGAGCAGCGCTGCCCACCATTGCTGGTCTCTGCCAATACTGCCACTGCTCCATGCAGAAGCCTTGGGAGGACGTTGCACAGAAGGAATTCAGGGAGAAATTCTCTCTCTCTCTCTCTCTCTCTCTCTCTCTCTCTCTCTCACACACACACACACACACACACACACACACACACAGGTATGCAAATGACAGTGGGAATATCTGGAAGTGTCTCTTCGATGCACAGAGCCCAGGTACTATCTGGCTTGGCACTCATGGGTTAGTTTGTCATTCATCACAATAATTTGTTCAGTCAGTCACTCTTTTTATTATTTATGTAACAAATATTTGCAAAGTACAACATTATATCAGGTACCAGGAATCCAGCTACCATCAACACTCTATGCTTGTCCTTCGGGAATGCTGGCCCCATCCAGTAAACACCCTTCCCTTACCCAGAGTTGAAATATCTACGTAGATATGATATCATGCTCTCGGAATGCAGAACAGATGGCGTGTGCTTTTGTTAACCTGCAGACAACGGCATCTACCTTAGGCTACTTGTACCTTTTCCCGGAAGGCATCAAATAATCACATTTTCCAAAAGGAATCTTAGGCAAGTATTCAAACACATTCAGGTTTATACCATCAATCATTTGGTGATTTTAATTATTTTTATTAAGTTGGGAGAACGGTAGCATGTTAAATTCTCCCCACGAGTATTAAAATCTGGACGTCGGGGGACAGAAACCAAAGCGTTAAGCATGCTTTCTGTGTTAGAACGGGAATCATTATTGTCACAAGTTGGAATGGGGAAAGGGCCAGGCTTGGAGGAAGAAAAGTAAATTCCCAAGTTTACCCACTGAGACAGGCAGGAACAGGACTGGGCTCTGCATCATTAGTTAAGTGTGGCCAACCCTCACCACGTTGAACTGTCTTCCTCCCAGGTCCTCTCCAACTGGGCAGTCTCCGCACTAGGTCTGCGCTCGTCCAGCCAGGACTTTGTTCCTGCAGCAAGCCCTCCTTCCTTTCTGCACTATCCTTTTCCACTAACATCTACAAATTCTAATAGTTCCGATGAAAACAAACAAACCCCATGCCCAGTCTCTCACTCCCCTACAACTTAAATAAGCACGTCTTAATCCGCTGTCTGTAGCCGCTGACTCCAGTTCTCTCCTCCCCACCCCTGACCCCACTCACACAGCATGGCTGTCTCCTTTCTGCAGACATGGCTCACCATATTGTGCACAGCAGGGGCCACTTCCCAGCCTTCCTCCCACCACTTCTGCTTTCCTCTCTGTGCACTGACTCTCTTCCCTATCCGTCTGAGAATGCCAGAATTGTGAGCAGTTGCACAAACAGTTTCATACGAAGTAACAATAGCAATTATTCTCCTATCTGTACTTCTAATAAATGGCTCATTTTCAATTCAATCTCTCATTTACACCCTCTTCTTTCCTTGCCAACGCCCATCTCGGTCGTAGATGACCCAGCGCCTTCCTACAGCATCATTTATTCTCTCTCTCTCTCTCTCTCTCTCTCTCTCTCTCTCTCTCTCTCTCT